TCAGAGCCACCATCAATAGCCTCCGCTTTGCCCTCGCATGCATCTTTTGCTCATGTGAAACCCGAAGTACCGCCCCCCGCCCCCGTTGTGACAACGGAGACGGCACAGATTTCTGGAATGGTACCAACGCCCTCCCAAGGTATTTTGCCACAGGAACCGCCGGTCTCGGCTATCGCCGTGTCGGTAGCCAGGCCGCCGCTTCCGGCCACGCAGGCGGCCGCAAGCGATTTCGCTCATGACAGGGCACTACCCTTGTCGTCTGCCGGTGCACGTACTGCGCAGGCTTAGCTTGATGCGAACGCCGTTGCCGCCGCAGAGGCGTACGCCCTCAGCGTGCGCAAAGGATACGGCAAGCTCAAAGTGAACGAACTGTATGCGGTGGTGCCGCTTCCTCCGGCAGAATTTTCTGCTTTCGTTCGTTCGACCGAAAGTGTGTTGGCTGACACCCTGTCGGCCGCTGATCCCTCCGGCAAGCAGACCATTAAGTCGCCCACATGGGTGGCTGGATGGTATGCTCCCTTCCACAAGCGTGTCCTCATGGCCATTTCGAACCCTCAACGCGCCAATGCCGCAACCCGCGAATTGGTGGATTCTTCGTTTTCTCAGGTGAAGCGTTTCTCGGAGACGAAGGACAAGTCAGGGCCCTCGGCATACCGTCGGCTGCTCAAGCTGCTCGCGGATGAGTGGGAACCGAAAGGTTTCAACCGGAGCATCGACAAGCTGCATGATTTTGGTGTGCCCAACGGCACGCCGTACAGCAAATTCGTTACGAAGTTTAAGGCGTTGGCAACGTCGGAGTTGGCCTCGCACAGAGCTTTCGCGCCGGATCTGCGCATGGTACAGCGTGCGCTTCGGGACGCTTTGTTGGAGCAGTATCCGAATGTTCTCTCGTCTTTGCCGTTGAAGGATAAGATTCTCCACAACGTAGTGTTTAGTGATAAGGATGAGCTTTGGGATGCTTTGTCTTCGGAGGAAGCACTAAAACATTCGCCCGCCTGCAATGGCGACCGCTATTTTACCACTGTCACTTCTGGGTTTTCATCGGCGCCTACACGAGCCATGACAACGACCGTGGGGCAGCAGCGGCCGCCACCGCCGTCGCCGCTGCAGCCGTCCGCGTGGTCGCCGGGACCACAATTTCCCGACGTGGTGATGGCCATCGATCCTGTGCCGTCCGATAACACATGTCCCTTCGAACAGGACTATGACTGCTGGCCATTGCGTGGTCACTACGGCTTTGTGTACAGCGTCGTGGTGAGTATGGCAAAGATGGACCCCCCTCTGTTCACACCGCTGTTGACACCCGCCGACCGAGCACAAGCTCTGCGGCAATTTTCCGGCCAATGTCTAAACTGCGGGCAGGCGGGACACAGCCTCAAAACATGCCCTTATGCTTTCACCAATTACACCGGCCTCTTAAACCCGGCCATTGCTTCGCATGCTGATAGCGTCAATGTTTTTCAACGTTGGCAGAGCCGCATGAAATCCCACCGCCCGCGTGTGCACAATAAAAATAACCTGGGTAAGAGCAGCGGCCATGCACAGGGCGACGGCCGCCGCTCTGGGAAACATCACTCAAACACACACACACCCTCCGGCGCCGGCCGTAGGCGCCGCCGCGGCCTCGGCGCCCGCCGCCGTTCTTGAAACTCCGCATACTCGGAGTTCCGGAACCCCGCACTCGCGGGGTAACTGACACGCCGGTGACGGCCTCTTGCACACATCGCCGTCAACAGCACCGGGTGTGCGCTGAACGATTAGTTCCCAAGATGTTCGTTTCCCACAGACGTCCTCGGGCTCGCCTATGTTAGTTTCCCAACCTTTTATTTCTCAGGTGTCGCCCCACGCCTCATCACAGCCTGTTTTGGATGGCCGTCGTGACTCTTCGGCGCCGAATACAGTCTTGTGGTGTGGGCAGGCGGTCGACAAGACTTCGGGTGTCTCGCGGACGCTCGCCCCGATATCTACGCCCCCCGGAGGCATGGCTTCGCCTTCTGCCACCGTTTCGGCGGCTCCTGGTGGCCTCGTCGACCACGCGGAAGCACAGGGACCTTCGGGACAGCCCCAGGCCCGCCACGGTGGATCGAGTACGCTTGTACCCACCACGCCCCCTCCGGACCCCTCGCGACGTTCCTCTACGGAGCACCAACGTCGCACGGTGCTGACTGCACCACCGTTGCCGAGCGCAAGTAACGGTTTCCCAAAATCGGAAGGTTCATGTTCTTTGTCACGAAAAAGCGGTCCCGAGCCTCCCGCGGCCGCTGGCCATGTTGGTCGAGCGCCCGCGATGAAGGCCGCAGGCCTACGCCGACGTTTTGCGCGAAAACGCCCGCGTAGACCGCTTGGTTTCGCACGCTTCTGCAGCTGGTTCACCGCTTTTTCCTGCCTCTCCTCGCAACTCACAATCCGGCCCGCCTTCGGGTGGCACCCAGATTGTCCAGCCGGTTGCCGTTGCCATTTCCCTTGACGATATTTCCTCGGGGAAGGTAAGCGCACCCGCGCGGCAGGCCCCTGTTTTTGATGGAAGTCAGGAATATTACAACGATGAGGTTTTCCTCTTTTGGAAACCGCCGTCTTTTCTGTCTATTTGGACGCCCTGTGAGTTCTCGGTCCATGGCATTCGCTACGTGTGCGGCGAACAGTTCATGATGGCGGAGAAAGCCCGCATTTTCGGCGATGATGCCGCTTGCGCCAAAATCATGGCTACCTCCGACCCGAGGGAACACAAGTCCCTTGGTCGCAAGGTGCGCCGTTATGACCATGCCCTCTGGGAGCTCCGACGCGAGGATATTGTCTTTTCGCTTTTGTATGCAAAATTCGCCCAAAATGCTGACGCGCGCGAACGGTTGTTGGCTAAGAGTGACAGACAGATAGCGGAGGCTAGCCCTTATGACGGGTTGTGGGGCATTGGTGTTGATGCCTTCGATCCGCGTGCGGCGTCGCCCGCCAAGTGGACTGGTAAACACCTCTTGGGCAAAGCGCTTGTTGCGACGCGCACGCTTCTGCGTGTGCGACCGGTCGAACCCGATAAGCCTTTCCCCCCTGAACACTCGGGGCAATCTGCCCCCGTGTGTCCCACTATACACGAAATTGCACCCCCGGGGGAGGATCCTTCAGCTGACGATCCCCCTTCCGAGGACGCGCGTGGCCCCTTGGGCGTGCCAGCGAACACGCCCTCGGACCACTCGAAACAGGTGCTGCACATTGCCTCTGCTGCTTTTCGCAAAGCCGCCGCCTCCCCACCGCCGCTGTTGGCGGAACACGGTCCAGATTTGGTGAGCGGTGATGTTTTAGTGGATTGCGATACCTCTACGACGCGAGTCCGTGTGCATAGTGGTACAGGAGCCGTGTGTACAGCGCCTGGTGTAGCCCTTTTGGACTCGGGGTCACCTACATCTTTCATGAGTGATGCTTTTCTTGAGGCCATGGAGGCGTCAGGAGCTGCATCTGTCCACAGTCGTCGTTCGGTGCCCGTTCGGCAGTGGGGTGGTTTTGGTTCTGGCAATGCTCTCGAAACCACCTCATCCGTGCGGCTGTCCGTTCAATTATTTTATGGTGATAGTGCCACCGCTTCACTAGCGGTGTGGGTGTATGTTGTCCCAGCTGCCGCCATGGGTCACGCCCTCCTTCTTGGACGTGATAGTTGGATGCGTTTTAACTCTCGTTTGTCCACTACTTTGCCCA